CGAAACTGGTCTCATTCACCCAAAGTCTCCAGAGGGTCTTTACAACACCCTCGTGGAGACTGTTTGCGAGTGCTACATTGCCATGAACAGCCTGAAGAAGTCCATTCCATACTGCGACCAGACTCTCTCATTCAATCCTACCTCCCTTCACGGCCTCATCTCGAAGGGTCGCCGTGCCCTCGAAGCCGAAAATTTCGAAGAGGCTATCCGAACGCTTGACGAAGCGAAGGAACATCATGGAGGCAACAACCAGATCGAGAATCTGCTCCGCGAGGCCCACACGCTGCTCAAGCGCTCGAAGCAGAAAGACTACTACAAGGTCCTTGGTGTCCCACGCGACGCCGACGAACGCGATATCAAGAAGGCATGGAGGAAACTCACCATCAAGTACCATCCCGACAAGGTGGGCGGTACTGGCATCACTCCCGAGGAGGCGCAGAAGAAGATGGCCGAGATCAACGAGGCGTATGAAGTTCTGAAGGACCCTGAACTTCGACAGCGCTTCGACCATGGTGATGATCCGAACAATCCGGAGCAGCAACAGGGTCATCCATTCCAGGGAAGTCCTTTTGGTGGAGGACAGCAACAGTTCGTGTTCAGGCAGGGCGGCCCGCAGTTCAAGTTCCAACAGGGCGGTGGCGGTGGTGGAGGATTTCCTTTTGGCCAGGGATTCCCTGGGTTTTAGCGACACCGACAGTGAGGTTGGGCGTGCGAGCATTGACAGGCGTATTAAACTGGCTTTGGTTATTCTTGTAGATATTGGTCTTGGAGTGAAAAGGGTGACACGGTCTGGGAGCACGAGTGCACGGCGTTGGTGTAATGATTAGACTTTGACGTCGCCGGCACTTCGACTCTCAGGCATGCATACACGGAAGGTGAGCGAATGTTTTCTATTTGAGGACCTACCTAGGTAGACATCAGTATCCCGAGAAAAGATGATTTCTGTCTTCACCACGTGTCGTTCCTCGTCAGAAACGTGCCAGAGTTGAAACTTATAAGCGACGAAACACCGTTGGACGTTCAGCTTTCTCACGACCTCTGCCATCCGAGGGCGCAAGACACTTAACACTTTTGACTTCCGACGAGACGCTTTAACCTGTACTGTATCATCCCATTCGCTTCACCGGTACCTGCTCAGGTACATACTCGACCCTCAAACTCTGGTTCGGGAGTTCCATCGGTCCAAGACTATCTCGGACCCACTCTCCACTCCAGGGCTGAGGGCGGCGAGAGCCTACGGTCTACGGTCCACGTACGGATTTCTGGAACCCGGATCCACTCGCAGTTGCAGCCCTGTGAAGCCTGTGATAGCTCGAGAAGTGCTCCAGCGCTTCTGGTAACCTAGAACAGCTGTTCCTGTGCCTGGCAGCCATGGTCACCAGTGCAGATGTGGTCACTGCGGTGGAGCTATGGGCGGAAGGAACACTGGAAAGCTGTCCGAGTCCGACTGGAAGATGCTGTTTGCGAGGATTTGTGGATGCTACACGCCGCTGCTACGCGAAAGATGGGCACAAGCAACAGGGGAAAAAATCGAATTTTACGAAGCGATGAAGCGGACGGGATGAAAGAAAGAGGTGGAGATGCTGATGGAGCGAAGGAATATGATGGCATGGCAGGCGGAATCGAGACGGAATCCACCTCCCAGGAACCGTCCTCCGGTCTTCCAATTGCATGTAAAGAAAGCCTGGGCTGTCGAAGGCTGTATCTGGCAAGTCGTCATTTGACACCATGACGTTCAATCCTCGAGAATCGAGATGGAAATCTTCAGGCTCTCTCGCTGGAAGTTGAGATGAGAAGTTGAAATATACCCACCGCAATCTTATCAGATCATGATGGCGTCTCTCCAACCCGGGAAAACCTCGTGGGTCCAAGAGTCTAAATTCACCAACATCCATCCATCGGTTCCGTTCATACCAAGCAGCTCCGAGTCCCCACGCCCTCGTACCCACCCAAGGCTCCAAGCACTGCGGCTGATGAATCGATTACCCTTTCGAAACTCGCTTGGGACTCTGGGAGGCGAGCCCAAGAGCTCACGTGCGCGGTAATTGCTTTCCCTCTTCAGACGTCGACCAGCACTCCGCTATCGCTCGCGCGATCTTCGTCCTCTTTCGTCACATTTCCCTCTCAAATGCCTCTCGGGGCGGCCGCCAACTGCAGACGGACGAATCGTATAGGGCAGCCACTGGGTTGCAGTTCCCTCGCCGTCCCGCCGCCGTCGCTCGCCAATTCGTTGCCATGCTTCGGCAGCTTCTCGGCCGCGCCTTCGATATGCAAATTTTTATCGCGGCAGGAGATCTTATCTGATGGTTCTTAAATCACGCTATGCCCGCCCCGCCAGCCCGGTCCTGACAGCTTTTATCTGATCTGCCTCTTTTGTCCCCGCTGGAGCTCAATCAATCTGATAAAAGCTCCAACCCAACCCTTCCTATCCACACTTCCTGACCCTGACCTTGACCTTGATCTTGACCCTGTGAGGCTTCAGTCATGTCGGACTCGGACGAGAAGCACGACAGGAACTTCTCCACTGTCAGTGAGCCTGACGAGATCAATCTCTTGGGCGAGACCAGTCCTGGTGTCAAGCGCATTGAGATCCTTTCGCAGCATATCACGCTTGTAGACCGCATTTTCATCTTCATTGGTCTCTTCCTCATTGCCTACGCCTACGGCTTGGACGGGACCTTGCGATACGTCTATCAGGTGTGTTGTGTTCCTCTTTGGTGGCCTTTCCCTCCCCCAACTCTAACAATTCGAACAGCCTCTCGCGACAAACGACTTTGCAACCCATTCCACCCTTGCGACGATCAATGTCCTCCGCTCGGTCATTGCAGCGGCTGCCCAGCCTACCGCTGCAAAGATTGCTGATGTGTTCGGTCGTGTCGAGCTTATCCTCGTCAGCATCGTCTTCTACATCATAGGGACCATAGTCGAGGCCACTTCTACGAACGTCGAGAGCTTTGCTGCCGGTGCCGTCATCTATCAAGTCGGCTATACCAGCGTGACGCTGCTTGTCGAAGTCATCGTCGCCGATATCACTTCCTTGCGGTCTCGTCTGTTCTTCTCGTTCATCCCCGCCCTTCCCTTCATCATCAATACCTGGGTCAGCGGTGACGTCTCTGCTGCAGTCATTGCTGCTACTACCTGGCGGTGGGTAAGTTTTTGATCCTTCCAATATTGAGATCTGCCGTGTCTACAGAGTCTAACATGTCCTAGGGTATCGGCATGTGGGCCATCATCTACACGGTCTGCGCGCTGCCACTCATGATCGCGCTCTGGATCCCCCATCGCCGTGCTAAGCGCGCGGGCGTCCTCGCCAACTACAAGTCCTCATACGAGCAAATGGGTGTGGCAAAGCTCACCGTTGCTCTCTTTTGGCAACTGGACGTTATCGGCGTGATCCTGCTGATTGCTGTGTTCGCTCTCATTCTCGTCCCATTCACAATTGCAGGAGGTGCCGGTAGCGAGTGGGGTACGGCCAAGGTCATCGCCCCTCTTGTCATCGGTATCGTATGTATTCCCGTCTGGATCTGGTGGGAGGCAACATGCAAGCACCCCATGATCCCCTTCCGCCTGCTCACCGACCGCGCCGTCTGGGGTGCTCTAGGAATTGCCTGGATGTTGAACTTCGCCTGGACTCTCCAGGGTGACTTCCTCTTCACTGTCCTCCAAGTCGGGTTCAACGAATCTACTCTGAGCGCCACCCGCATCATCTCCCTCTACAGCTTCGCCTCCGTCATCACCGGCACCATCCTCGGTCTGGTGGTCTACCGCGTCCGCTACCTGAAGCCCTTCATGCTCTTCGGTACCTGTCTCTTCCTCGTTGCCTTCGGCCTGTTGATCGAATACCGCGGCGGCGTTGGCGGCTCTGCTCACTCCGGCATTATCGGCGCACAAGTCCTCCTTGGTATCGGCGGTGGTATGTTCTCCTACCCCGCTCAGGCCAGCATCCAGTCAGCCACCAAGCACGAGCACGTCGCCGTTGTCACAGGTCTTTACCTCGCTACCTACAACATTGGCTCCGCCTTCGGCAACACGGTCTCAGGCGCCATCTGGACGCAGACAATTGTCGGCACACTCGAGCGAAATCTCCCACCCCCTTACAACAACGCCACCACCGCCGCAGCCATCTACGCATCTCCCTTTGACTACGCGACGTCGGCGAATCCACCTGGCACTCCGCTGCGTGACGGCATTATTGTCAGCTACCGCTACACACAGCGTCTGCTCTGTATCACGGGTATCTGTCTCTGCGTACCGCTCATCTTCTTCTGCCTGTGCACTAGGAATCCGAAGCTGGGCAAAGAGCAGAGCTTAGAGCAAGCCGAGGATTTGGACAGGATCAAGGCGGAGGCGAGGCAGAGGCCGCTTTGGAAGAGGATTTTCCTCTAGATAGGGGGAAACCAATCTGGTGGAGGGCGTCTTCCTTCGCGAAAAGTGGGATGTGTGGAAGCCGGGTATCTGGGGGAAATGGATGGGCCATGGATGGATAAGGGATGGAAGTAAAAAATCCCATATGAAGGATTATCTCGGCATGGCTTTCTTTATCCGCTCAGTCGGGTCGGAATTAGCTTCCAACATCTAGCTACCTTATCAGGAAGTCGAGTTATTGTAGTATAGTATCGAGTGTTTGCTTGCTCTGACGAGCTAAAGTTAATTTAATTTCAACGAAGAACCTTTTGCTCAATCAAGTTTCGTCTATTGATGTTGCGTTTTGCTTGCTTGTGGAACGTCGACGTTGGGTTCAGGTGATACACCACGATGTTAGTTACCTAGAGCCTACTTGGTGATACCATCTTCCTTCTAGCCTATTCCATTCCCTCCAACCTGCCCCTTTCCAATCCCGTGACCATACCCCATTCAATCACGTGTCTGATAACCTAATCACATGATCCCTCACATCCTTGCCCTCACCCATACCCTTTTCGGCAAAGTCGCCACAGCCTCACCCACAGCCGCAGAATTTTTACAGCATTATAAACGGCGTGAAAGAGCCTAGCTTCCACCTCACCATGGTGTAGTTGGTTATCACGTCGGGCTGTAATGGATCGCATCCGTAATTACCTGAAGGTCACCGGCTCGACTCCGGTTGGTGAGACTATTCTTTTTTGCGTTTTGGGGTTTTTTGTTCGATTTGGAGGTCGCTTTTTGTGCGTACTTTTTGTCGAGATTTTGCGGTTTGGTGGTATTGGTGGGCTGTTTGGAGGATCACGAGAATGCCCGTGGACGGGAGGGACTCGAGCGGGGTTGGGTGGGGAGTATTTTGGTGTTGTATTTTTTTGGGTGGAGTGGAACTTGGACGAGACAACTTCAACTCGCCATATCCACACTGTCAAAGTTCGAGTTTGTATTTCTACAATACGAAAAGCAGCATGCGACTCTCTTTTATTTCTTTTTCTATTTCATTTGGACGTTCCGACGCCGTTTGTATCGCAAGCGGTGCGTTTCAAACTCCCCGTAAAACTTTTTTGAGATGGGACAGCTTCGACCTTGGGAGAAGTTCCAGCGTCTTCTACACTTGTCAAGCGCCTTCTCCATGACCTTTATCCGGTGAGGGACAAGGGAGATTACTCGACGAGTATTCTTCATTACGAAATGTTCTTTAAGGAAGTGGAAGACGCAAGAAGGCTAAACCCCAGTATTGGTTTCCGTTAAGGACAGTCCTCCACGGACACCCTCGGGCTTTACGGTCTTCAACCTCGTCGCCCCATATCTTCGGACTCAGTCGAGAAAGATGAATTAAGGTTGGCTGACGAGTGTCCAATCAGCGTTGGACTCCCGCGGTGAAGATGTCGTACTCTATCACTCCCTTCGAAAAAGGTGAAAGTCTAAGAACATGGCGTCCAAGAAAAAGCACTTCGTAGCACCCAAGCGGTCGAATGCATACGCCTTGCATACTCACTGGCTAGCACCCTCGTCTGAAGTTCTGAATTGTTGTTTTCCCCTCCGTTACCCCTCTTCTTCTATGTCGCCCTGCTTTGCGAGATGCCGGTCTAGTTCTCATGTATCTTTTTATCGTTGCCCACATCTTCACGTTGGTGTAGAGCTTGGTACTTTGTTTGCAATGAAGACTCCGGTCCTCTCTTCTTTTCTTTGCGTACTGTTGACATGGATTCGATCCGCTGCTGCTACTCCGGAATTCATAGATTTCCCCAGCCTCGTCACCGTCGGAGAGCCCGTTCTCCTCAAATGGACTAATACAAGCAAAGCCAGCGAAGTAAGTTGGGACTCGAATAGTCGGAATGAACTCCCCTGCTCTCGAAATCTAACAGTACATCATGAAGCTCTACGACCTTGCTCTTTTCAAGGGAAACAGGAGTTCTCTCCTACCAATCACACCGATCGACGACGGTGAGTGGAATAGCATGTCCAACGAAAATCTCATCTTGCTAAGTACCTTTCTCCAACGATAGAGATTACAGAATGCACGTATACATGGACGCCAGACTCTTCTCTTGAGATAGGTGCTAGTTACATGCTTCGGATAGACCAGACCCGGGATAGCGACCAAAGCTTCAGTTCTCCCTTCTTCGTGCAAGCAGCAATAGTTACGTCCATGACTGGAAGCGAAGTCGTCCACTCGACGGAAACAGAAGATACATCTTTGTCGCCCACTTCATCCGGTGAGCAGCGCGAGGATTCCCATTCCTCACAGTCTCTATTTTTCAGATTCTTTTCACGGAGGTGAGGATTCAACTAATCTTGATTTACTGCCATCTACAGTGCCCTCCATCGTGTCAAACGTCGACCAACCGTCCACGCATTTGGCACAGGCGCGGCCTTATCAACCAGAACATCAGCAGCCGCTTGAATAAGGAAACTTCGACTTGCGCCTTCTCCGCAGAGTCCACGGGCGTCTTCTTCACTTCAATTGATTGTAATTTGCGGGTGGTTAGCGTGGAGTACGATAAAGATACTAGAGACTCTCAACGCGTCAACTCCGAGCAACTCCATCGCGAGAAGTTGGATAGGATTGTCAGGTTTCCCATCCTTTCGCACGTCCACGGGTTTCAACAAGTATATATAGCGCGCTTTGATGGTACAGATAGCACACCCACGGAAATTGATTAAAGCTGGACTTCAGAGTTCAGCCTCGTCCGTATCACGAGGGTTGTTCCCAGTTTGGCTCCCTCTCCCGGTCACACTGAGTCCTTCCAATCTGTCGCTTCACCAATGACCACGTAACACGGCCAGGAATTGCGCAGATAGGCTCTACCACCCGCGACGTCTTGCTGCTAATCTTGCAGCAGCCTTGAGATTCCCGCCGCTCAAAGTGGAAGGTGTATAAGCGAATTGACGACTAGGATATCGATGCAGTACTCCCTAATAGTTTGCGGCGCTGCATAGCCACATCCAGACGACCCCAACTTCTCCATACCTACAGTACATGTCGAGTTGATGCACCTCGCTCTAGCAATCACCCGCGTTTGTGCTTCTCTTATGAACGTTATCGCGCTCCGCGTAGCCTCGTCTGTTTTCCTTTCTCTTCTTGCGTTTTGCCTTTGATCTCCGCGAACGAGCGTTCAAACCATCCTCTCGCCTCCTATCATTCAGTCGTATTCACTCCCCGCGATATCTCCCTTTCAAACTTTCAGTCAACTTGTTGTCCTTTTCCAAGCTTGTACTTCTCCCTTTGGCGACTGTCGCCTTTGCTGCTGCCTAGGAATCTATGAATATTGCTACAGCAGGTAAGCAAACAAACCGCTCCTAGTCGAAGGGCCAACTCCTTTCCATCCACCATCCACCACCCACCAAATAGAGTACCAAAGCCCAAATCCAAATAAATCCCACAACCTCGCAACCTGCTAACAACAGCATCACCTCCCACAGACCTAAGCATCATCATTAGAAGTACCGTCTCCCACCAAGCCTCCTCCAAACCCTCTCCCACCCCCGGCGTCTGGTCCCCCCCTCCCGCCTCCCAACTCGAAGCCGCAACCAAGCTCTCCTCAGCCGCAAAAGGCGGCATAGCCGTCAGCGCCATCCTCGGCCTCTTCGTATGCTGCCTCGTTATGTTCCTGCTGCTGTCGGCGCAGCGGGAACGGTCGAGGGCGCGCAAGGAGGCGAGGGCGAAGGTGGAGCCTTGGGGTGCTGAGGGGGAGGGGTTTGAGGAGGCGCCGCCGAAGTATGAGTTGGAGGTGAAGAAGTGATGCGGGTGGGGATGGTTTGCATTGGTGGGGAGGGAGTTGGTGGATGGTTATGGCGGGATGACGGGGGTTTCGTATTCAAGGAAGCGAGGGCGCTGGGAGGAGTTTGGAAGGTTCAATATCGAGGTTTCGATACTCAACACTGGGTTCGGTTTTTACCTACCTATGTTCCCACGATCGCAGTGTCACACATGGTATTTACAAGAAAGGTTTCTCCCTTTCAAGTTCATTTGCGTCCAGCTACCCTTTTCATTTCGGTCGCGCAGGATAGGGGCATACAAGAGGGTCTCTTTTCTTAACGTAATAGCGAAGTCGAGGCTGCTGAGCCTACCTAAGAACCTCCTGTCGTTTCTAATACTCCCATCCAACATGACCTTAAGCTTGGTTTAACGAATTCAATTCTTCCACCTACAAGTCTAGCCTGATTACAGCCAAAACATTCCACTGCTTGCAGTACAACACACTTCTATTAGCTCAAAGTCTCTAGGTACTAGGTAGCGATGATTAAGGATCATGTCGAGGTCTAGGCTCCTCTGTATCCACCACCACTTTGTCATTCACAGCCCATTTCGATTCGGCACGGAGAACACGTGCATGCATATCCGATAACGTTATCCGAATCTGATCCGCAACCCAGGAAGATTTATGCCTGAGGAAACGAAAGAATGGAACTCGGAAAGAGCGACAATTAGGTACAAAGGAAAGATCGATGGAGAGGAAAGAGTAAGGGGGAAAACCAAAAAAAAGAAGATAGGGCGAGGCTGAGCGAACCGTAGTTGGATCACTTGAAGAAATAGAAACGCGTGAGGGATTAGGGGATTGAAGATCCAGATCCCGACCTCGAGATGATCGTCCATAAAAAGGGCTGGCAGAAGATGACTGATGCAACTTTCAATCGATCATCACAACTAGTACTATCAAGCTAGCTAACTATACTACAAACAACATCAACCTCCCGTCAGCCACTCCGTCCCCTTCGTCGCCATCCTACCCTTCCACAAGGCCAAAACAATGCCTCAAGCTGGAAAAATAGTGCCAGCGTATTAAGACGCAAAGGAGCAAAAAGCCCGCAAAAAGACCAAAGCGCAGAAACACCATGCCATCTCCCTTTGCCTGTTGCAAGGTGTGCAATCGCTAGGTCCCAGTCCACCTTTTTTCCGTATCCTACCCTCCCAGCCGAAAGATAAAACATGAAAGAAAATGAAAAGAGAAATACAGGACAAAGCACGAAGCTATGATGATACAAAGACACTCAGTCAGCAACAGCAACGGATCCACTCCATCTCCTCTCCATCTCCAATTTTCCACCTAAGCCTCCCCACCCCCCCTCCTCTCCCTCTCCCTCTCCAACAATCCCCTCAACTGCTCATTCTCCACCGCCCCCTGCTCAAGCCTCTGGCGCGCCCCACTGCGATCCAACAACCTCGCCTCCCTCTCCGCCTTGAGCCTGCGCTCCAACTCCTTGAGCCGATGGATCCACCTCGCCTCGCTCGGCTGCAGCGGCGCCGACGCAACCTGCGACGACGTGCGCGACGGGATCCCCGGCGACGCCGACGGCACGCCAATGGTCTGGTGCTGGTGATGCTGCTGGGTACCGACGGACAGGATTTCGACGGCCGAAGCCGAGTGGTGGCGCGCGAGTGTCGTAGAAGGCCCGCCGCGGGTCGGCGAGCGGAGTTCCTCAGCCGGACCGCCCGCGCGGTTGTGGGTCGGTGAGGTCTGGCGGTGGAAGTTGAGTTCTGCTTTCAAGATCTTGTTCTCGCCCTTGAGTTTCTGGACCTCTGGGTTGTTGTCGAGCGATTGGTAGCTGCTGGCTCTCGACGACGAGCGGCGGCCCGAGGCGGCGGATGCGGCGCCGTTGTCGCGTTGCTCGCGCATCACTTTGCCGACGTGCTTTTCCATCTGCTCGACGCGCTTGAAGCGCACGTCCATGGCGTGTTCGAGCGTCTGG